TCCTGCTATTGAACCTGTTGAGACGGAAATCGTCTTCTTTTAGATGGACAAATCCACCATTAGTGAACTGCGGACGAGGGTAACGCTGAAGCAATTGGATAAGAACCTAACTGATAAACTTAAAGACGATTAAAGATTAACATCAACAGTACCATATAACCTTTCGCGCATGGAAAATATGAATGCCACTTCGATCGTTGATCACCTGCAGAAACACGACTGGTGGAAGACGAAGAACTCCCAGTTGTGATCGATGGTGCCTCTTTCGCCAACGTACATTTCTGAAGCTATCAACATACTACTGGAGCACAAACTTCTCAGGAAGAAACAACACCCGTACAGTAAACTCAGTTTTGAATATTTTCACAGCTATTTCATCGACAATAGTTCTGATTTCTTGCTTTTCTGTATCAGTGCGTGGACGCAAGAGATACTCACGCAAGACCATTGGTTGCCGTCGTAGAGGTGCTGAAGAAACATTATACTACCAAGACGAAAGAAACGAAACAACACTGCAATACGAGTTTACCGTAAAGCGAGTCGTCATCATTCAAATTAGGTTTCGTTTCATACGTATCCTCCGGGAATGGGTTAGGTAACGTTGTGCTCTGAAAAAACAAGGTTACAAGACATTCTGCAGTATGGCAGGACTAACAAAATGCTGTAAATCTAAGGATATCCCTCACATAAAGATTACTTAGTGGAACTACGGTGTGGCTTTCAATTCGAACCTCCTCCCCCATCAAATGCGAACCGAACTCGAAGCTGACCCTTACCCAGTACCATTGCCCTTTCTGATACCTTATTCCAAACAAAACAAGTGGAGGTCATGCGATAAAACATATTCCATGATTGAAATTCGTGGATTCTGGGTTTCAAATGCGAATTCGTGGAACTGGTGGCTAATCAATTTACGTGGATAAACAATCGAAGAGACCGGAATTAGGCTGCGTTCATACTTTGCGTCAGCGTACGTCAGCTGACGGCAGCGTTTCAAGCGCCAGCGGCTGGGATAGTGTGGATATCAAATCTAGCGAACGCCAGTATATGCCAGCGTACGCGAGTGACGAAGAAAGTATGGAGATAAATACGACAGATAGATACGACTAGGAAAATATAGATATCGGCCCAGCGCATGCCAGCGTTTTCGCGTCACATTGAACTTGAGCAAAACTGCCCGCGAAAACGCTGCTTGTCACTACCATACGCTGCGTTTGCTAGATCGATATCTATAGTTTCCTAGCGTACGCTCGAAAGGCTGACGCTGACGCAAAGTATGAACTGAGCCTCAGGCACAGAGCTGGACAAGTATTAAATCTGCTGTGTAAGCGAGAATCTAGAGAAAAAGTATGAGAGCAGGTGAGTGAGAGAGACGAGAGATCTGTGTCACTGCTCCAACATATGTACTTGCATACGTTCTAGTGGCACCCTTTCGGCACGAGACCGCCGTACCCTCCTCAGTCACTGTAGGGCAGCGAAAGGAGACTTCTGATGGACAAGACTACCCAGGCAAAGAATGTCTACTGATCAATACCCAGGAAAGAACCTCATTTTGCTGCTATCCACACCAATCGAAGATACATTGTGAATGCTGAGAGCTCGGGTGATTGCGCTTTATGAGAGCTTTCGACACCGATTCCCTCAAATCACGGATTCCTATGAACACTGCCTTATCGAGAGAAACAATATTTCAACAAAAATAACGGACAAACGCAGTAATATTGCAACTCACATCATCCATTTTCAGTGAAGATGGAACAGAATGAGTAAATCCAATATCTCTTATAGAAGCTATCATACGGTAGGTGCTTGTCCCCTCATCACGAATGGCGTCGTCATCACTGAAAATAATAGCAACAAAACTATAAGATGAAGCAGCGCTTTCTCCATGATCAAGGAACTATTTTGCAATTTTGTGTGCTGCATTACCAAAGAAGACAGGATAGGAATAGAACAAATAACTT